ACCCACATTTTTAGGTAGCACTTATATGCCTTAAAGTTTTTAAAATTTGTGCTTTAATACCTCCTAGTTGTGCAAACGTAATAATTAACTTCTCCTCGAAAATTCCGGTGTGACACTCACATGCTAATTTTAGAATTTTTAACCCGTAATAGTTTTTTAACTTTCTTGACATACCAAAGTTCTATTTTAAACATACCCCTAGGGGTGATAAACGATCGAATCGAATCGAATACTAAGGTGTTCGTATTTGTATTTGTTTAAAATTATCGAATTCGAATACGGACTCTAATATTCATATATCTAGTTTTTCGATTTCGAACTCGAATACTTGGTATTTGATAAATATTCATGAATATTCACAAATACTTATCAAATATTAGAGTATATTTATTCTGCTAAAAATTTTTGATTTTCAAATAATATTAAAATTCATAAATAAAAATTATTCCTTTTTAATATATGATGTATATATATTTAAATCAAAATTTTAATTAGAAAATAGATTTAAGATTATTTTAGACTTAAAATCAGTATATAAAAGTTAAGTAGAAATGGTAAGTGAATTAAAAATATGACATCATATGTGCAATAATACAAATAATAAGCTGTGATTAAATTTTAAACGAATATTTAATAAACAAACGAATCAGATATACATCTGGTTAAATTCTATTCGTTAGTAAACTCGAATACTAAAAAATATTTGTTTAGTGGTAAATGAACTACCGAATCGAATATGATCGAATAGTTATTCGAACAATTATCGAACTATTTGTTAAATATTTGGTTCATTTCCACCCCTACATACCCCAGTTCTATTTTAAAATAAGCCGTTGATACATTTAACTGTAAATCTATAAATTATTATGGGTTTAAAAAGTTTCAAAATTAGTACGTGAGAGTCGCAAGGAAATTTCCGGAGGGAAATTCTCAAGCTTGCATAACTGAAAGCGCCGCGAAAGAGCAAATTTTAGAAACATCAGGGTATAAAAGTGCTGCCAAAACCAACTAAGGTATGCAAGCGCAAAACGGGGGAAACTAAAAGGTATTCAAGTGCTAATTAGCCTTTAAAAAAAAAAGAAAAAGAAAAAAACTTGGACCTTCAGGGACGTAGACGTTGCGCTTGAGGTAGTATATGTAGAAGCACCAAAGGGAGCAGGCCGCCAAGTAGAGGATGTTTCCACAGAGGTAGTTCCTTAACCAGGCTCTAATGGGCCGGGGGAAAGGTTCCAAGCCCAACCCGGTAACAGGGCGGTGAGCACAACCTCGTTGTACCAGTCCGTCTCCTCCGTGAAACGGTGGAGGTACACGGCTCTATCCATTGGGGTGGGGTGACCAGCGGTGACAATTAGATCTTCCAATGAATAGGAAGAGAGGGGGGTTGGGAGAGAACACGAAAGCAGGCAGAGTGTGTATGGGCCTTTTATAGACATCTATGCATAGTTTAGTAGTGGGCCCCTAGACTTTTTCTAAGTCTAATCTAATCTAATCTAATATTATTATAAAAATGTGTTGCATATTAAAATATATTTTTTTAAAAACATCCTCTAAAACAGGAGCATATATTTATAAACTACATCTATCTATACATAAATGAAGACAGATACATGCTTAATTTTTTGGTAACCTCCCTATTGATTACCATTAAATACTAGTTTAAACACTCACTCTATATGTACATGAAGACCTCTATATGTACATGAAGACATGTACGTACTTAATTTTTCATAACTTCCCTATTTATTACCATCAAATATTCATTTAACCAGTCACTCATAACCTTTCTTCACTAATTCTTGTCACAAAATATAACTTTATTTACACTAATGATT